CTAAAAATTATATGGGGGCAGAGGGACTGGCAGGCAGTGTGGGGGTTAAGGGGCTGGAATACCACATATCTGACCATGGTTGGAGTTCTGGAGATGGACCTGGTGGCTGGCTTGATGCAACCTCTAGCCCACTGCCTGGTGAGAGCATGTGCCCTATAGCAAATAAAATAATAATAATAATAATAACTAAAATTAAATATATAGAGAGAAAGGGTAAGAGAGAGAGAGAGTGTGCACACGGTAGGAGGTGCATGGAGGTTAAGGTAGCTAAATACCAAATCTCTGACTGTGCAGTTTGAGTCCCAGACTTGGAGGCTTAAAAATCACACCCGGCTCATGTGCATGCATACCAAAAATCCTGAGAGGAGAGCAAAGGATAAGGGATTGCAGTGTAGCCATCACTCCACTTGGGGAAAGATTTTCACTTTTGTTCTCTCTCCTTCTGGTGACTGCATGCACCCTATTTTAAAAACTTTTTTAAAAAGAGTAAAAAGAATCAGAGACTATACCATATTAAAAAGATTTATTTACCAAGAAGATATAAAAATTATAAATCTTTATGCATTCAACATCAGAAACAAAGACTGCTAGATATGAACAGACTGATTGTGACACACTAATTCGTATGAACCCTACTGTCACCCCTGGAGATATCATTTAGACAATAAATAAATAAATAAATAGACACAAAAGATAAATGATACCACAAACCAAATCAACTAGCCAACAGTTATAGGACATTCTGCCAAAACATCAAAACACATTTTTCTCAGTGACACATGGAATATTTTTGAAGACTGACCACATAATAGATCACAAAACACATATACTAACTAATTAATATGGATGTAAATATATGTTAATTATATATATTTTCACATATAGATGAAATTAAACTTGAACAAAAGAGCTTTCAAAACTTCATGAATACATGAAAATTACATAATTTACCCCTGAACAACTTAAACACTACTGAATAAGTTAAAAATAAAATTAAAATTTCTTGAAACAAATAATAATAAAATCACAACTCTCCAGATACTTTTAGACACATCAAAGCACTCCTAAGAGAAAAGTCTATAGCCATTATCACTCACATACACACACACACACATTAAAAAAGAGAGAAATAACCTAATAACTTATCCCAGCAAACTGAAAAAGTGGGAACAAGACAGCTCAAAAGTATTAATAGTAGAAGAAACAAAATAATAAAAGTTAGAGCATACATAAATAAAACATAGAATAAAAGAACAACTGAGGGCTAACCAGGTGGTATAGTGGTTAAGGCAGCTGGATCCTCCATGACCGAATGCACGATTTGAGTCCTGGAACTGGCATTCACTGGATGCATATGTGTGCATGCCCTAAATTCCAAGAGGAGAATAAAGAAGATACTGAGATTTGACCACCCCACAGGAAGAGTGATTTCTCACTCCCCCCCACACACTCCTGTCTCTCTCCAAAAAGTGCACACACCCTATAGCAAAAATCTCTCTTAAAAAAAAAGAAAGAAAGAAAAGAGCATTTTAAGAGACAAATTTTATCCCATACTGGTATTTGATAATCCAGTGGTAGATTGAAGCAGATCTAGGGATGAGGTAAACTGAATAACAAGATTCTGAAGCATTTATTTTCTAAAAGGAAGGAAATTACCCTTTTTCGGAATGATTTCGTGAATATTACTGTCTCCCAATTTAATTCTTGAAACAACTTCCTGATGTAAGTATTACCCATATTTTTGAGTGAGGACATTGAGATCAGAGGTTAAGAAATAATTTGCCCAGGGGCCAGGGTTCACTCGTTCATTCAGTACATGTTGATTGTCTCTCGCATGCTGACATTTACCACTATAACTAAGGCCAGCCCCTGCTCCATGGGGATTCACTGTTTATATGGGGGATGGCCACACAGCATATGATGTTAGGGACATCCCACAGAGCTGATAGGAGGGGTCCCTAACCACTGTTCCTTGAAAGCCAGGGCTTTAACTGAGTGGATGACATTGAACCAACTTTTAAAGGATTAATAGGAATTTACTGAGTATGGGAGATGTGCAGAGATGTTCCATAAAAAAATCGTTTGCACAAGTTTATGACATTGTTATAAAGCATGGAATAGTACTATTTATGGAATAGCAAGGAAATAGTGTTGTTAGTTTGGGGGTCACTTGCACATATTACCATAACATTTAAATAATTCCATCTCTTCAATATTTGATCTGTGTTAAGCGATTTCTGATAAGGAACATAAAAACATTTTCAGTGCAAAAAGAGTAATAGAACAAAAATTGGCATATGATAGACACTTGGTGATTACTTATCATTGAGACAGAGTTGTCTAGGGAGACAAGAGAGCTACCAAAGCCTGGCTAAGAGTTTAGATTCTAACTTTGCTGTAACATTAATCTCTATGGTTGATGAATTTTCTCTGTAATGCTAACTTCCCCCCACTATCAGAGCAGTTAGTACAGAAGGTCAGGGTTCTCTCCAGGCGTTTTGAGACAGAAGAAAAAGGGGTACCAAATGGAAGGACTGCTACCATTGTGGCTATGGAGTCAGGTGGGACGGGGCTAGTGGAGCCTGAGAGAGACCAACAGAGAGGACAAAGGGAGAGGCCAAAAGCTGGAAGTTCTGAAGGGCTAGAAAACAGGTAGGTCATTGAGGTGGATGGAAAGAGACACCTATGAAAAGAAAAACAAAGGAGCTAAGAATTTAGACATGCAGACATAAGTGGGCCAATGATTAATGACTATGACAGTAGACTTCATTCTTTGTAAGTGCATTTCCTTTATGTATTAGTTTTTTCCATGAAATATTTTTTCTAATGTGATTTCTTTTTTTTCTTTATTATTATTATTATTTATACATTCAACCACTATACATCATCTAGATTGTAAAGAGACTTTACCCAGCATGATATACACCTCAGTTCAGCCCAGTTGAGAATACTATACACATCTTTATCAACAGATGATAAACCATATCTATGTCCCACAAATGACTTACCTATTTTTCTCCCCAGATTTCCTTTCCTACACTCTTCCCCTCCCACAGTCTCCTTCCACAGTCTCTAGTGTCCATAACAATTTTTAATGCTTTTATGTCCTCCAGACTTTCAGACTCTACCATAGAGTGCAGACAGTCCATATATTTTAAGTGGAGACATACAATGTCTCTCTTTCATAGCCTGAATTGCTTCAGTAGGCAATAAATCTCCCATATTCATCCACTTTCTATCAAATTCCAGGGCCTTGTTGTTTTTTGTCTGAATAGTATTGCATAGAGTATATGTGCCATACTTTTTCAATCCATTCATCTGTTTGTGGACATCTGGGTTGGTTCCAGATATAGCTGTTGGTAACTGAAGAAGAGGATCTACACTAGACTGAGGAGGGCCTTGTTTGCCATTCTAAGATGTCCAAGTTTTATCCTGAAGGAGCTATTGCAGGGCTTTTAACCAGAACGCGGCATGTTCAGAGGCCCATTTCACAAAGATCACAGCAATAGCATCCAGAAGTAGAGGTCAGCAGACTAGCCAGGAGACTCACAGTCATCCCAGAGAAAGGTACAAAATCCAAAATTCAAGTAGTTAGCGGAAGGGGAGGAGTAGGGATGGATAGATAAACTATTGACAGAATCTGATGGATTTGGACATTGATTGGATATGGGGAGATGTGAGTAGGGAGGAGATGAGGTGGGGGGAGCTATATTCAGGGTTCTAGTTTTAGTGAATGACATCACAAAGATACAGGCTATGAGAAGAAAATGGGTTTGGGCAAAGAGAGCTAAGTTGGGGGGTGGGTGTTGAGTTTGATGCACTGACAGGACATGCTTGAACTTGTCCCAGTAGGATATATATAAGAACCTGAATAGCCTAGGGATTCCACTGAGATAATAATGGGTCATCAGGGGACCAGCAATGGCCTAATGGCTATGTCACTGGACTCCCATGTAGTTGACTGCAGTTCGAGTCCTGGACCCGATGGCTTAAACTCACATCAGGCACGTGTGCATGCATGCCCAAGATCCCAAGAGGAGAATGGAGAAGGGATTGTGGCATGGCCTTCCCCCCCAGGGGGGCGATTTCTCACTTTCTGTCTCTCTCTGTCCTTTTGGCAAGTGCACATGCCCTATAGCAAAAACCTCTCCCAAAAAATAAAAAAATAATGGGTCATCAGGAAAAAGTCATGACGTTATTTTTTCTCTGCAAAAAGTAGTAGGAATTTAAGAATTGCCTTTAAGTGGGTCAGCTTTCTCATTCCATTAGCCATGTGCCTATTTTCTCTCAGGTCACCAAGGGGTAGTTTAGGGGAAGAAACAGATTTTCCTCTGGAATATCAAGCTTTGACGTTGGGAATGTGTTATAATAAAAATGCCTGTGTGTAAAAGACAGACATTGCTAGAACTCCAGCTTGCCCCTCCTGGCGTCACAGCTTCCACATGGAACAACACAGAACCAGCACCTGCTCCTCGAGAATCCAGTCCATAGAGCAAAAGCTGAATAACCAGAGCTCTTTGTAGATTCTCGAGGTGACAGGTGAACTGCTTACAGAGAAGGTAAAGGATAAAAGCATGGACAGCCTTTAAGAAGTCAGTGGAGTCAGCAAGGAAGCTCGGCTCTGAAGCAAGAGGCATTAGTTGTCCTCTCATCGTCACATAGAAAGGGGTTTGGTGCTTCCTTACTCAGCTCAGAGCTTCCTCCCTGCCTGCTCTAAGTTGACAGTTGAAACACCACCCCCTCACTGATCTGTGCTAGGCACACATTGACTGGATCCTGTGCCCTTCCTGGACTTCCCTTTTTGCTGTGCGAAAATCCTTTTCCCCCCATAAAACTTAAGTTTTGAAAAACTGCTTACACTTTATTGTTGATTTTTATTATTTTCCACCCTCAAAGGGCAAGCACTACCAGGCAGCTTGCCAAGGCTGTACACTGACTGAACAACCAATCTCTAAGAGTATTTCCAACTTTCAAGCTCACCCATATTTCCAATTCTGCAGGCCTCCCTCTACATCAATGTCTATACCAATTGCTGGTGAATCTGAGTCTCTAGAAAAAGATAGAAAAGGCGGAGAGACTCTCAAAGTGCATCTTGGAATAGCAGGTATGAATGTATAGTTTGCTGAGTTTTTAACTTGTGAGAATCAGTACTGTCTCATGTCCTAAAATATTCCCGAAGCCCTTCCAGACTTCACGATGTTTGGGTATATGACCAAAAATGGAACAGTTGAGTGTCAGTTTTAATTATGCAACTCTTGGTTAATCCAGTGCTTTTATTTTGTGTAAAGTGTTGTTCTCTGACAAATTAAAACCTTGGTGTTTCACCCTCTCCCCTCACCCATTTCTGTATCTACTCCCCACAGATAACAACAGGAAAATAGATTTGTCCCTGCTCCACATGCCCAGCAACTACCAGTCACCTCTCAGGTGTTGCTTCTCTCCCCAGAATCACTCTCCCTCCATCCGTGCTTCTCAAGCCTTTCCTAAATCTCAGAATCACCTGGAGGGCTTGTTAAAATGCAGATTGCCAGCAGTCAGTTTTTGACTCGGTAGCCTGAAATTTTGCATCACTAGAGAGTTCCCAGGTGACACTGAGGTTGCTGGCCCCTGGATCACACCTGGAGACCCACTTCTCCAGGCAGTCCAGCAATAGTCAGAACCTGCTCTAGGAGATAAAAACAGGGTAGAGAGAATGTCAAGCTGATTGGAGAAAAAGCATTTGGGAGCATCTTTCTGTCTCCCATTTATTTGAGCAAGATGTATTGTTGGAAGGAATGGAAGCAAAGGTGAAGGGATATGATTAACATTTCCATATGCAAAGGTACAGTTTCTTACAGGTAATGGTGACTGTAAAATTTCCTGTTTTAGCATTAGTCAATCTTTCAGGTGTTTTAGCCTTTCCATTAGCTCCTTCCTGTCAGTGTTTAAATATTCTGCATTCTTTCCCATATTGAAAAAAGATTGAAAAACAAAAATTTATTGGCCCTTACATTCTTCTTCTCGCCTACTGTCCCATAGGATCTAGCAGGCTAGCTTTGCAATCTCAGTTTCTCTCACACACGCCTTTTCTCTTTCAAAAAAAAAAAGAGATCATCAAGAGATGATACATATATATCACACACTTTATATAGCCTATCTTCTTAGAAAGACTGCTCTCCATTCATTTTTTTTGTTGGGGGCGGGGAGAGTTTTCTGCTATAGGGTGCGTGTGCTTGCCAGAAAGACAGAGAGAGACAGAAAGTGAGAAATTACCCCCCAGTGGGGGTGGCCACTCCCCAGTCCCTTCTCTCCAGCACACACGCACACGCGCCTGGCGTGAGTTTAAGCCACTGGGTCCAAACTCGAACTGCGGTTGACTACATGGGAGCCCAGTGACATAGCCATTACACTAACTGCTGGTCCCTCCATTTATTCTTAAATACATTTGCAATCTGGCTTTTATCTTCTGCCTTGTCTTGATGATGTCTTCAGTTACATGATTGTCAAATTCCCAATGCATTTTTTTCCCATCTACCTTGGCCACTTGGTTCTCGAGGCTCTCTCTTCCCCTGGATCCTATCTCTTTGACAGTCTCTGAATAGCATGCTGATGGGTTCTCCATCTGCCCCCAACTTCCTCTTAGAGACGGTTCTTCAGGTTTAGTCCCTGTGCTCGCTTGCCTGGGCAGTGATATCTGTACTCTTGGGTTTAACTGTCACATAAATGTAAATGTGATAGGTAAATTTGAGCTACATATAAATTCACAAATTTGTGTTGCCTCTGGGCCTTCGCTCTCGTAAATAATTTCTAAACGCGTTTTGGAAAGGCCCACTTCATGCCACCATGTTCCATCGAAATCCGTCTATCTATCTTTCTCCCCAACCAGACTCCAAATTCCTCATGATCAGATCCTGTCTTTGTACACCCAGCATAATGCCAGAACACAGCAGAGATTCAATGACTGCTGAATGGGCGTCCTCGGGGGGGCTCCGATCTCATGTATTCCTATCTCCGTAACTCCTCCTCTTGTATTTTGTATCTTGGTTATCCTGACACAGACTTCTACTTAGTAATTGAGTCCCGTGGCTTCTACCTATTGACTATCTTTCACTGTAGTCTGGATTGTAGGAAAACCTTCAGTCCTTCACCCCTTGATCATCCTGCTGCCAAAAGCAATCTTCCCAGAATGTAGATCAGGTCATGTCATACCTTTGCCTAAAGCCACTGAATTGTTTTCTTTCTTTTTTTCTTTTCTTTTTTTTTTTTTTTGGAGAGATTTTCACTGTAGGGCGCGTGCACTCGCCAGACAGACAGAGAGAGACATAGAGACAGAAAGCAAGAAATCACCCCCCAGGGGGATGGTCACGCCGCAATCCCCTCTCCTCCATTCTCCTCTCGGGATCTTGGGCACGCACGCACACGCGCCCGGCGTGAGTTTTAAGCCACCGAGTCCAGGACATGAACCGCGGTCGACTATGTGGGAGTCCAGCGACATAGCCATTACGCTAACTGCTGGTTCCCTGAATTGTTTTCTTTAAACTCATAGAAGGTCTTCCACAGTAGGCATCTAGTCCTCCCTCTAGCCTCTTCCCTTCAGTCATCTCCACCACTTCCCTATTTGCAACCTTACCAAACTGTTTGCTTCTCTATGAGCAAGGCAAGTCCTTCCCTCTGTCTTTCCTCCTCACCCAGCTGGCAAAAAAAAATTAAACTCCCAGGGTTGACCTCCCCCATGCGTCTTTGCCCCAGTACAGGCAGTGTTAGATGAACTGTACTTTGGAGCTCTGAGTAGCTCTGTGTTGGTGCTTGTATTTTAGTACTTGCCACATTGTATTATATCTATTTGCTTCTACCTCTGAACTCTAAGCATGTATTTTTCTATTTATGTTATATCCCTATACCTTGTACAGTATGGAGCACCTGACTTGGTAAGAGTCTAATAAAATGTTTTGAATGAATAAATTTTGAAAACCAGGGATAAATGGATGAGTTAAAATCTGACCCAAGAGACCGGCAGATGGCATAATGGTTACATCACTGGACTCCCACGTAGTCGACTGCGATCTAAGGCCTGGACCCGGTGGCTTTAAACTCACACCGGGCACATGTGCATGCGTGCCCAAAATCCCAAGAGGAGAATGGAGAAGGAACTGTGGTGTGGCCATCCCCTCTGGGGGGGGTGATTTCTCACTTTCTGTCTCTGTTTGGCAAGCACACGTGCCCTATAGCAAAAAATCTCTCTAAAAAAAAGAAAAAGAAAATCTGACCCAAACCCAAGAGTAAAGGATTAGCTTGTATTTATTTTCAGTATGAACCAACTCTTTGAATTCCTATTTTGTTGGAGCCAACCTTTGGGTTTAGGACTCCAATAGAGACGCTTGAGGCACTTACAGTCTGTCCAAGAATGAGAAACCTCTGTAGAAGGGCCAAGTCACTCCACTAGCATTTGTTTGGCAGCATTCATTGGTCTAACTGCGTTCAATAGCATTTATAGAACAGCTTTATAATAGCTGTATTACTCAATTACTTCCTTCTGCTTCTAAGTTAAAAACAGTTTTAGTGTCCAAATATCTCACCCTAATGAGAACGGTCACAGTTCTGTATCCTGTGGAAGGAGCTTGGCTCTGGAAATCAGTAATTGCCATCTGGAAGATGTGCAGGATCAGGGAACTACTAGATGGCTTTGACTCCGCCTTTTTGTGCATGTACTTTGAAACCGAACACAGTCATTAATTCCTTACGACTCTTACGCTAAGTGCTACCACACGGCTCGTGCTGTGATGATTTAAACCAGAGACACTGCCCAGATTATAGCCTAGCACTAGCAATGCTAACATTAGATAAAGGGCTCTTCAGTTCACTGCTGTGATGGTTTTTTAAAGAAGAGAGTTCCTCTAACACTTGCCGATTTTGTGAGAATTGATAAGAGTACACTTGACTTACATTTACTAGAGAAATGCTGAAGACAAAAACTGTGATAGCTTTAAAATAAGGTGCCATTAAATATTATGAAAATTACTATAATTCTGCAGTGAAATAAGATATTTAAGTACTTCTGCATTTATTTTAATATGCTTCTTTCTATTATCCTGATTTTAAAGAGACCTCTATTACTTTTAACTTATTTTCCTTGCTAATGAACTTAGCAGTTTATAAGGTATGCAGATCAGAATATACATTGACCGTGAACTTGTTGGCAGTAATACTAACATGTCTGCGTAATGATTTATTGCAGATCTTTCAGCAAAGAGTGCCTCTGTTCCAGATGAACTTGGTGCCTGTGGACATTCTAGAACATCAAGCTATGCAAGCCAGCAGTCAAAAGTATCAGGTAGTTTTGTGGCAGCCACAGTCGCACAGGCAGTAGGGCACGGCTGCATGATGCTAGAGCCATATGGGAGGCCTGGGTTTAGACCTCAGGTTGAACAGGTGGGATGAGCCCTAGCACATCCATGATGTTGACTAGATGGGAAGACTAGACATGGATTGTGGCATGGCAAAACCGTGTCTCAAGAATGCCCCTCTCCCTCTCTCATTCTTTCTCTCATGAAATAAATAAAATAAACTTAAAAAAAAAAAAAAAAAGGCCTAGCCACAGTGGTATGTCTCTGCAGTGCTGGGGGCCATGTGGAAGACTGAGTTTCAGTTCTCAGGTCAACCTGTATATACCAGGCACATGCATGCACGCCCATAACCCTGGCTGGCTGGGAAGGCTCGGGGGAGGATCATGGTGTGGAATGCTATTGGAGGAGCCTGCCTGACTTGCTCGCTCTTTCTCCTCCCCTTTCTCCCACCCCGTGCCCTGTCTCTCATGAAAGAAACTTTAGAAGGGGGAAAAAGTATCACATAGAAGCTAACAATGAGGTTGGATTCCTTATTGTTCTGAAGGGAATTGGACCTGCTGTGGTGAGGGAAAGAAACATTAGATTGCAATGTGGTTGACATTAGTATTATATCCAAAGTAATTTTCTCTGACAGGCTATAGCACATGTCATTCCCGGTCATCTAGTTTCTCTGAGCTCTGCCACAGGAGAAATACCTCAGTGGGAAGTACATCGACAGGAATTGAAAGTATTCTAGAGCCATGTGATGAAATTGAGCAAAAAATAGCCGAACCAAATCTTGATGCAACTGATAAAGAAGATACAGCCTCAGAAAAACTGAACAGGTACCCTTTTAGATTAAAGGATAAATTTAAAGAAACCTCCTCTGTTTTCATAACAGAACTAATAAAAAGGAGGGAAAATCCTTAATTCTTTTCAAAGATGCCCAGTGAAACAAGATTCTGTAGAATCTCAGCTGAAACGAGTGGATGATACCAGAGTGGATGCAGATGATATTGTGGAGAAAATATTACAAAGTCAAGACTTCAGCCTGGATTCCAGTGCGGAAGGTGTGTAGGTACCTGTTATGGTGATTTCTGTCATCCAGGGTTGTGGTCGAATCATGATACTGCTTCATGTTTATAAATGAAAATTCATGTCCTTAAAAATCTCAAGATAACGTTATGGCTTGTTTATTTTTGAGAATGAATATTGAATTAAAAGAAAAACTAACTTTGGTTGAAGAGATCAATTTTAAAGAAAGCTTTTGCTGTATCTTTTCTTTCTCGTCATGTCTACCACATCCCTATGCCTTATTGTAGGATAGGTATCCACATCTGCCATCACAGTGTCTCTAGTCTCTGTTCCAGGTTGGAGGGTTGGAGTGACAGTCCTGAAACAGTAGTGAATGAGAGTTCTTCATCCCCTCCTTAGCATTTTCACTAAAACTGAAAATGTATATATGCTACCAGTTTGAAAGGTGTAATTACTCATGCTGGTGTGAATAGAGAACATTTAATAATGGGCTTGGTTTTATTACGTAAACTAGTTATTAAGAGAAATAATTGGGACCAGCAGTTGGCATAATGGCTCTGTTGCTGGACTCCCATGTAGTTGAACACAGTACAAGTCCCCGACCCAGTGGCTTAAACTCACACCGGGTGCATGTGCATGTGTGCCGAATTCCCCAGAGGAGAATAGAGAAGGGATTGTGGCATGGCCAGCCTCCCTGGGGGGTGATTTCTCACCTTCTGTCTCTCTGTCTCTCTCTTTCTGGCAAGTACATGCACTCTATAGCAAAAACCTCTCCAAAAAAAGAGAAATAATTAAATCTTACTTGTGGAAATTTGTAGGAAGATTTATGTCCATGACTCAGCTAAAAAAGAAAGAGTTTTAGGATGAGAAATAGCTGTTAGGCTATCTTTTAAATTTCTTGTTTTAAAATGTAATATTTTTAAGTTTCTTATCTTTAATAAAATGAAATGTAAATGAATATTATCTGACAATAGTCTAATAACTGTACATATAACAAACATTTAAAATGTGTGTTGCAGAAGAAGGACTGAGGTTATTTGTGGGTCCTGGGGGAAGTACAACCTTTGGCAGTCATCATCTCCCAAACAGGTATGTAGTCTAAAGAGTGTCTTAGTAAAATGTAGACTGGGGACCAGCAGGTATCATGATGGTTACGGTGCTGGACTCCCATATGGTCAACCATGGTTTGAGTCCCAGATCTGATGGCTTGAAAATCATGCCAGGCACATGTGCATGTATGCCCAGAATCCCAGGAAGAGAATGGAAGAGAAGGGATGGGCAGCATGGCATCCCCGCTGAGGGGTGATTTCTCACTTTCCCTCTTACTGTCTCTCTCTGTCTTTCTGGAAAGAGCATACACCCTATGGCAAAAACCTTAAGATTTAAAAAAAAAAAAAAAAAGTAGACTTTTTTTTAAAATGTTCATAAGTAGGGGATGAAGGCTGCAAAATTTTTATTAGACTAGGGCTAGAAAACACACATAGTTACAGAGAAAAGTTAAAGTTCTTAGTGGAGCTCTCAGTTTTTCTTCTGGGTACATTTGGTATTATATTTATAAGTTAGTTCGTCCATTTCTTTAACTGTATTTTAAGATTATTAATAACGGGCCAATAGAGCACTGGGCAAGTTGCAATATAAGATATAGGACACTAAGGGCCAGCTGGTGATGCAGTGGTAACACCATGCTGGCAGGAATGTCACACTCCGCGCTGTTGCCATGCCCTGCACTGTTGCCACGCTCTGCACTAAGGCTACGCTCTGCACTAAGGCCATGCCCTGCACTGATGCCACACTCTGCACTAAGGCCATGCTCTGTGCTGTTGCCATGCTGGGCACTAAGGCCACACTCTGCACTAAGGCCACGCTCTGCACTAAGGCCATGCTCTGCGCTATTGCTACGCTCTGTGCTGTTGCCACACTCTGCGATGTTGGACCCACATGGACCAGCCTCCTTGTGGATGCCATGTGTGTGCCCATGAAGTGGCCATGGCCTCAGATGGCTGAGACTGGGATGAAGACCCTGTTGGGAATGTCATACTCTCTCTCAGAAGAAACAAACGTGTACAGACAAACAAAAAAAGAGTTCTCAGTTTGGGGCCAGCAGTTGGTGTGGTGGTTGGGCCACTAGATTCCCACATAGGCCAGTCACTATTCAAGTCCCTGAAGATCCCACCAGCACATGTGTGTGCAGGCCCAAGATCCCAAGAAGAGAATGGAGGAGAAGGGATTTTGCCATGACCATTGCCCTTGAGGGGTGAGTTCTCACTCTCCTCAACCTCCTGTGGCAAGGGCACATGCCCTACGGCAAAAGCCTAAAAAAAAATAAAAGAGAGAGAGCAAAGCAAAATTGCAAAATTACATTTCCAGCCATTAGTCATGTGTCATGAGCAGCTCCACAGCCACTCAGCATTGTGAGCTGATGCTAACCTTTCTTGTACTCTCTCTTTTCCTACCCCATTGGAGTCAGACTTGCAGACTAAGAAAAGTCCTGAAAACCAAGTATCCTTCCATTAGTCATTCAGATTCAGGTGAAGAAAAGTGACCTGCCAAGCTCACCACTCTGATTCTCACTTTGATTCTCAGCAGCAAATAGTGAGCAGGGATGCTGAGGACCTTTCGGGAATGTGATGGCTCCCTTGCTTCCCCACAGGCTGGTCCCTGCCATTCAGTGTGCCCTGATGCTCACTGTTTCCATGTGATACGCAGGTAGAGTCCCTGCACATTTGTGCAGTAAGCCACAGTCGCAGGGGAGGGAACCCCCTGGCCATGACAGTTATTTTATTCTCTCATGTTCAAAACCTAGAAGAATTTTTCATTAATTTCTCCTACCCATACTCATTCTAATGTGTCCCTCCTGTGTGTCTAGCACATTGCAAAGTCCAAAGGATACAAGAACAGAATCTAAAAACAAATACATCAACAACGAACTATAATCAGATATGACAGATAGGTAGGTAAGAGAAGGACATACATGGGAACCAGCAGTTAGCATAATGGCTATGTTGCTGGACTCCCACGTAGTCGACCGCGGTTCGCGTCCTGGACCCAGTGGCTTAAAACTCATGCCGGGCGCGTGTGCGTGTGTGCCCAAGATCCCGAGAGGAGAATAGTGGAGAAGGGGGGTGATTTCTCGCTTTCTGTCTCTATGTCTCTCTCTGTCTGTCTGGCGAGCGCATGCGCTATAGCAAAAACCTCTCCAAAAAAAAATTTAAAAAAAGAGAAGGACATACATAAAGATGCCGTGGGGAGTATTTCCGGAGACGTTTATAGAGGATGTTACACAATAAATTTTCATTGGCTTATCTATTAATTAAATTCAGTAACTATTTATTGGGCCAATTTCTGGGTAGAAATACAAGAAGGAAAGGCCCTCAGCTTAGGGTCTAGCACATGGAGTTTGTACCTGGGGCCAAGTTGGCTGAGTGCCTGTTACTGTAAAGAAAGTTCCACCTATTTGTTTAGTTTATATACTGCCTACAGCTGCTTTGAGACTACAGTAGCAGAGTGAAATAGTGTAGCAAAGACCATGTGGCCCACAAAGCCTAAAATATTTACTATCTAACCCTTTCCAGCAGGTGAGGTAGACAAACTAAAAATTGTAACCATACGGGGATAAGTACAAGAGAACAGAGGTGAAATCTCAGACAGAAAAAAAGTCCCAAGAGAGTTGATGCTTGAAGAGAGTCTTTTTTTTTTAAGTTTTACTTATTTATTTCTTCCATGAGCAAGAGAGACAGAATTATTATTAAATAGACCCCCAATAGAGTCTCCACACCCCCAGCTTCAGCTAGCACCAGCCATAGGTATATGTGTGCCTGGTGTGTTGGAGAAGGTCTCGACACAAGCCAGAAACCTTCCCATGTGTGTCAGCCTTGAGGAGTGTTACATTACTACTGCACCACAGTCCAGCTCCAAAAGAGAGTTCTTAATAAAAGATAAGTGAG